CATTGATATAGAATGAAAACACACAAAATCTGAAGCAAAATTCTGCTGTTGTTTCAATCGACCCAGTCTCCTTTGCATTCTGTGGTGTCGCACTGGTGTGACCAGGAAAGGTTGAGATTATTATACTCAAATAATCAGACTAAATCCTCGCAAAGTAAGTAAATTCAGACTCACACTCACTGCTTAACCGTTGGCTTGCCCCCTTGTCTCTAGGCATCATATCTCATGATTTAATCAGTACGGAAAGTCAATTTCTGGCACAGAAATGAACTTAAAAAGGTAGTGGTAGCTCATAACTTTGTATTTCTGTGCTTTGTATCTCAGCCATTTCATCTTAAAATATAGTTGGTAAAATGCTATCAAGAGGGTTTTTGTTTGAGATTCTAGTTTGTCAGTCTGAAGCCAAAAAAAGATGTATTTCCCACTTAATAACCCCTGTGGTTAGTATCAGTCCAGTGGAACTTGCGAAGGACAGTAACTGAATGGTTGGTACATTGCTGAAACAGATTCTCAAAACGCCTTTGACCTGATTCCACTTCTTCCGTGGTTTAGAAATGCTGCAGAGCTGTGGATACATCCAGGTCGGACATCATGGAGTCACTAGTCACTAGTCACATCACTAGCTCTTTACCACTTCTCATCCCTGTTCTTAAACTCTGTCTTCAAAGTTTTTCAACTGAACACTATGGTGCTGTGATACCTCAGCAACCTTTATGTGGATGAACTTGAGTATGAGTCACAGAAGCCAGTCTAAAACAAGGGGCTTGGTTTGCACAGACTATCTATACATGGAGAAACACTGAACAGCATTCATGTGCCTAACAAAGACTACAGAGAAAACAACTTGGGCAGAGCACTATGCACAGACATCACACAATTTTCTTTTCAAAGTCGGAGCTTACACACTGTAAATTACCTACCAAAGCAATTATTTATTGCTTTGGGGTGTTCTAACCATGAGAACATCACAGTGCTGCATGTGTTGATAAGCCCTCTAGTCTTAGATAATCGTAACTCAGTGAGGATCCTGTTTAAAAGTCTTGGTAGGCATACCCAAACCACATGAAATAGATGTAGACACTGTAAGCTGCCATATTTTTAAAATAGTATTTGTATAATTCAAGTCTTTGGTTGCCTTCTTTTCAACATTGAAAACTTCAGGTATGCTCATTTAACAAAGTCAAGATAACTTTCAGACTTGGAGGAAGCAAACAGTAACTTGCTGTATTTGTCCAACTTTATTATTGCCATGGATCACATTTATGAAGACATCATAAAGTAACAAGCAGTTGTAATAAAAAAGGCAGTTCCAACAATGTAAAGTGGTCCATTACATGTTCCATATGACAACTTTATTACTGCAGTGAACCAGTATAGCAATTACGAATAGGAAATATATTACACATAACTTGTTTTGAGACAGAATGTTACAACAGGCCAAAATAATTCTGTGACACGTAATAATTATTTTGAGATTACAAAGTAAGAAAGTAAGCTACTGTAACTTAGCAATCTGATTTAAAAAAAGTGGTAACAAAAGCAAATTTAGCAATGGAAACATGACTGTTATTGTTTAGTTATTATTGATGGCTGCTTGGTCATATAATTAGCATCTGTATTTTTTCTCATTATACGCATTAATGCTCGTAAACATATTGTCAAGGATCAAGGAGTGTGAAGCTATGACACACTGGTGCTATATGCTGTACAAACTTAAAATGAAATGACAACCCATACGCGAAAGATCTGTTGCAGTACAAGTAAAAGAGAACACATAACACATGGAAAAAGATAAGTTGGGGAAGATGTGGAAACTCGAGAACAGCGTGGGAAGCAGAGGTCTGGATAATCAGGTGATTTAAACGTTACACATTTTGACAGACCTCACACTGATGCTGAGTTTTATGGAGGATTCAGGTGAGGATAACTAAGTAGCTTTGAAAATGTTTATAGATAGCTCTTCTCAAGCATGAGAGCGAGCATAAGGGTCTTTCCTAGAAGATTTAAGAGGCAGATGATGGAGACATTCACCATGAATAAATCTTTTCATCCTTACCAGTGTCGTTCAGTGAATGAGAGAACATACGTATCGTAAGAAGCCACAAAAGGGATCGAAAGAGAAGAAAAAAGAATTTTAAAAACCAAGAGTACAATGCTTCCACAAATCTACTCCAAATAGAAAACCACAACACAGGGTCATTTAAAAATGCATTTTAATTAGAAGCATGATGGATTCAAAATCCTAGGTGTCAAAAAAAATCATACTTAAGAAGTTTCCATAGCAAATGCTAATCAGTTGATTATTTTTATTAAGAAAATTATTCTCAGATTTGCTTTTCCTGTGTTTGTGTATGTTAATATTGGAAAGTGTAAGTAAAATCATGATAAAAATGTAAACAAATTACAGATATAACTACAATACTTAATTAGATTTCAAAGCACACTTATGGAAAATTTGAGACAGCAAAAAGGAGCCGGGCATGCATTTTTGAACAGATGGTGCTAGATAAGGTCACGCAGATATAATTGAGGTCAGAATTTGGTCACTGTAGGAATAGACACTCTCAGG